CCATTGTTACTTAAAACTTCCATTGTTACCTAACACCGCCATTGTTACTTAAAACTTCCATTGTTGATGGAAGTGTTAAGCCTTAATCCTGTCTTTCTCCCCCCAGGAGGAATTTCGAAAAATCCCTTCTTAGTGTGCGTTTTCGTGACGTACCCTATCTATGTACCAAATTTCAACTTTCAACTCCTAACCGTTTGGGCTCTGCACTTATTATTATCATCATCAACCCGTCTCGATTATATTATAGATTTATGGTAAATACAATCATTTCTTTTATATGAGCATTTATGATAAATATAATGTACATAAAATAGAATTTTTTTTATACTTTTAATCAGATGTCAATGAACTTTTATTTCATATACATTGTGCATAACTTGATAGTCTTATCCAGACACTAGTGGTCGTGGGTTCATGCTCTGCCAGTGGACTGGCCACATGGAGTTTTCTTTACATTAGTAACATCTGAATAGGGGCCCGTTTCCCATAAAAGACCTCCCATCAATAGATTGCCAATGTCTCACATTGCCATAAATGAATAAAACCAAACTTTATCATTCAATAAAATTTAGTTATATCCATGTTAGGATATTTCTACTTTCCTGGCTGTTATAGAAAAGTATGGCGATTGAGAAATGCAAAATTTAACCTATGTTTTGGCACTTCGCAGGCGAAAAATTGCAAAAGAAAAGACCTTACAAAATTCTGTGTGTGTTTGCATCTATTTTGTATTATATCCCAGGATGAAATGAACCAAATATTTTAAATTTGGCAGGGTTGTTCCTATATATTTAGGTTATTGATGATATTAAATTTTGGTCAAAAGTCAAGGGGATGGAGAGATGATAAAGAGGTCTTTGACTTGTATCTCAAACAGGTCAGACAATGAAAATTTCTCTCATTATTACCATTTACAATTTGTCTAGCAACTCACTTCTACCCCCAAATAATGCTTTTGCCTTTCTACAATATTTAAAAAATAATAATTTCTATAAGAGATGATGCCCCACACAATTTTAACTTGAATATTTTTTTTTTGCAAACTAGAAACACTTATTGTAATTCAAACAAATTACAGTTTAGATTATTTACAAAAATTAAATTAAATTTTTGAGTCTATCTTTTAATCCCTTATACACCACCACAGAATTAAGCAGTTTAAAAGTGGATACAAATAATATGGTGAGAAGAATTCTTTGTGTTTTTTATGTAAAAGTGTCAGAACCTACAAGAAAAGGCTGGCACTTGATCTCTCTTAACATTGTGGAGTTTTCTACCGATTTTTTACCTTTGTTTAAGAAGTGTTCTTCAAGGCAATTTTAGACTGTTACTTCTGTGGTGGTGTATAAGGGATTAAAAGTAGACTATTTACAAAAATTAAATTAAATTTTTGAGTCTATAATTTCAATTATGAAGAAAATACATCCTGAGTTATCACAAAAATTGTACTCGTTTTAAGCTTTTATTATTATTTAAATTTTTTATTGTAGTATAGTTGAAAATTTTTTAACTTCCTTCCTGGTCTCTTAACCACTTGTATAACTCTCCCAGCAATATACAAGAAGATCCTTTTCCAGCTTGTTATGATGCACATAAGTTTTCATTAATAATAAATTTTGATAACAACAATTAATAAAAAGAAATCAAAATAAAATTAATATTTGAATATAAATATGAAGACAATATAATTTTAAAAATTGTTTTATTGATAGCTGACAAATAAATACATTTAGTTGAGAAAAAATTAAGATCTAAATTTTACTATTTTCTGATTGATTAACATGTACTGTACAGTACATAATACCTAAATAATATCAACTTTTAACTTGTAAAAAGTCAAGTTTATCTGTAATTAAAAGTATATCAATTAGTTATTTTAACTTTTATATTAAATTATAATGTACAATATAATAATATATCAGTGTCAGTAAATGTATGTACACCCCATGCACACTTGTCATAAATGGTAAGAAAAGCAGAATCATGTGTTTAGTAAAAAGTTTTTGTACTGTACAAATTGCAATGTAATATATCTGAGCTATGCTCTACAACATAAAAATACTGTAATAGGCATCTTGATGTATGCCTGAAAACACATTCTGCTCAAAACATGGTAGGAATAGACCTACATGTATCCTACACTTGTGTGTAATTATCACTTTGTTGTTTTTTTTCTGGCATACATGTTGGCAACTTGTTTAGGTTTCAATGTGAAGTAGACACAGCAATGATCTTGTGGAATGTTGGCCCACATTTCTTGAAGTATCATCTTATGCTCATCTTTTGTTCAGAGCTTGTATTTTTGCACCTTTTTGAGGACACATCACAGCTCTGATTTGGTTCAGATCGGGAGAATTTGGGACTAACTCCAGGACTTGGATCCAATTTTAGTGATGCCGACCAGTGGAGTATGTGGTTTTGTAAGATCTTATTGGAAGATTGTATCTTTTCCATAAAAAGACAAAATTCTGATGTAAAATTTCCTTATATCATTGTGCATAAACAGTTCCATCATATGGAACAAAATCATCAATGCCAGAATATCCAAAACATCTCCACTCTTAACCCTGTGGCTGGAAACTTGACTTCTTGCTTTGCACAATTTTGGTTGAGTTTGTCATTGGGCTGTCCAATGACACACTGCCTGATATTTCCTTATAGGACTTGGAAAGAGTGACTTGTCAGAGGCCCACCAGTGGCCAAGTGGTTCCGCTCCCTGAACACTGGGAGTTTGGTCATAGGTTTGTGCCTTGCCAGGATGAGCTGGGCAGTTATCCTTAAAAAGACCTCCCGGAAGGCATTCCCCTAGGCAGATCACCCAAGTGTTACATTGTCGTAACTTAACTAAACAAACAAACAAACAAGATTTGTCAGATCAAACAACCCTCTGCCATTCAGTTTCCTGGACAGGTGGTACCTGGCCAATGCAAACTGATATTAACAAGAGCTTCTGCTTACTCTTTTATGAGCTGTTACTCATGCCATGTAGTCTGTTGTTAGCAGTTTGGATAGTCTATGCATTTCTGCCACAATTTTGCTGCCTCCATGAATGGCCAGTTTTTCATGACAAGATTATGAAAAAATTAATCTTTCCTGGTAGTACTCAGTAGTCATTGGCTGTCTACCATTACTCCATCCAGACATGATAGAACTAATTTCCTTGCAGTATATGTGAATGTTCTGATAGTAGACATATCCAGTTCTTGAAAAATTTGCCACATAGCCACTCTATTTCTGGAGGATCTGCTTATGTATCGGCAATCCTAACTTTTCTCTTGCCATTGTTTCGAGTTCTGAACAATGCAGAAACAGCACCAAATGTTATACTGACATTTGTTTACGAAGTAACAATTATACAAGGCACACAAAGAAGCCAAAAATTTGCATGTCTATGTCCAGCCAAGCATTGGTTGCAACTGCAGGGTATATATAAATTTGTTGCCTGTATGTTTTGAGTGAAATATTGTTTCCAAGAATACATCAAAATGTCTGTTACACACATGACTACATGACACGTTACACACACACTGTTACAGTGTGTGTGTCAATTTTTGTTGTAAAGCATAGCTCAGTGGAGTATTTTGTTTAATAAAAAGTTCTTGACACATTGCAAATAATTCTGTTTTTCATGCAAGTACATTTACTGCCACAGGTGAGGAATTTAAATCTCAAAAATTTTTTATAAAATAATGCCCGAAATAAAACTGTTAAATCTTATTATTATTATTTTTTTTGACTGCTAGAAATTTTAAAAATGATTTTCAGCTAAATATTTAATTACAATTTTTGATCCCGCTGTTAAAAATTAAATAAATATATGCACATTTAGCACATTTAATATCTATTGCTGTGCTTATTTAGACAATATCATAAATTTAACTTAAGTTTGAATGTTTTTTTTAACTTTGTATAAAGTTATTACAATATTTTTTGAAATCTTTTACAAACATTACAAGAATACTTTCTCTGTTACCTTGTATTTTTAAACTATGATAAAATTAAAAATAAATTTAGTTATTCATATATTCAAAAGTTAGATATTTTTACAAGCAGATATTATTATTATTAATTTTTCTAGATTTTAAATAATAAATGCAAATAGAAGTCAGTTACAAAAATTTGACTGAAAATAATTATAAAAATAAAATTTTTAAATCAAATGTTTTCTAGGATTGTATATAGACCAATATTTTCTAATAAATTATATTACGTTACATTAGTTGATGATAATTTATGATTGACTCCATAACATTTTTCAGTCGTGTAACTTATGAAGATCTAGAAGTTATTGCTCCATATCGTCCAACAAAATTTCTCTCCAGGCCTCTTGCAGAGATGAAGGCTGTAGAAGTTAGTTGTTTTTATTTTATTTTATTTAAATTTTATTAACTGCAATAAATAAATTTTAATTACTACCTTCTAGAGTCCTGCTGACAGAGGTGTAGTAATACAAATTTTTGAAAGTGTTTACAGATTTGTTTTAGGCTCTTTTGCTGGAGGTAGGTTTCTAGAAAAAAAATTTTCAGTTTATAATAATAAGTTTAATGATACATTGAGATTATTTTGAAATTCTAGTTAGTAAATTAATCTACAAGTTTAATTAAATATATTTTAAACATTAATCTGTTGAGATTGAGTGTGTTTCAAGAAAATAACAAATCTATTTTTAGTGGCATATTAAGCATTATATAATAAAGATGCATGAAAATGAGATATTTTTCAGGCTTGTGGAGTCTGTAGAATGATCCACCAACTCCTCCTCCCACTTCTAAATAATTTAAAATATTTTTTGATTATATTAAATCAGAATGGAATTTCATCACTACCAGGTGAATTGTCGGGCTTTCCTCTCAAAACTGAAAAAACTTACCTTTTCACAGGATTTTTCATTATCATTACCATCATCATCATTTTCAATCACACATTGACATACAATATTTTTTCCATCTATGATTATAGTATTCAAAAACACTAGATTTAACCAGTCACCTTAGCAATTTTCTAAACTTTTATTGTTAATCATATAATCAGCTAACAGTGAATGCATTTGAATATAAATTTCTGAAAAGAATATCAACAATAATTAAAGAAAGGTCATGAAGTAGGGGAATATAATGCAAGATAGGGGTTAACATTCCTGTTAAGAGCTTAATATAAAATACAGATAACCCCCGTATAACACAGCGCTTCTATAGCACGGATTCACTCTAACACAGTTTGAGAATTGGGAACATCCCCGTATAACATGGTGCTTTTATAGCATGGGTTCACTCTAACACGGTTCGGGAATTGGGTAAAACCCTCGTACAACATGAAATGTAATAAAGGGTGCGTTCTTTTATATCTCTGCGCGAGCATTCTAATTGTTTTTGTGGCTACTTTGAATGCTCTTTCAACAAATAATCCATTTAATGGTTAAATTTTACAATTGAGACCCTTTTGCCTCTAAAAGCTCATTTTAGAATTATAGATTCCTCCATCACGATACTCTCGATAGTGCGGTCACCACCCCCTTTCTTTCACGTCATTCCTAAATGCCTACAAACAGCAGCACACTCCCGTTGCAGAGTGACCGCTATTAACGAACGCAACCAAAAACTGTTACCCGTTGATGATGCTCATGCTGAGATCATCATATAGGATGAATAATCATCTGGTAAAATATTTACTTAAATAAGTATTTTACCTATGAAAAAAAATGAATAATAAATCTGATTTAAATAAAGATTTAACAGCATGTTTTTTAATTTTTGGAATCTAACCCCCCCTTTTCGCACTAGTTCTTTGTTTCGCATAACACGGCAATTTTTTGGAACGTAACTACCGTGTTATATGGGGGTTACCTGTATGTAATAAAAAAAAAAAGATTTATAGTTGGTTCATTTTACCACTTTGACTCCTGTAGTGACAAATTTGTTTCTGTTTCTGACTCAGAGTTGTGGGGTCAGGTATTTTTCTTAATTATTTTGTTATACAAAGTGTTCATTTTAACATTTATCCAGATACAAAGAGATCTTTTTAACATTTTATGAATATAAGCATATGGTGCATTAGTTCCACTGTGATGTTTCTAGTAAAATTAATTATTTCACTGAAAAAAAGGGGTGTATAAACTGCATGACAATTCCAAGGCAATACATAAATTTGCCTTGTCTCTCCGAAGCAAAAAGATAAAAACCAACAATGCATAATTAAAAGGTTTATTTTGCTACAGTATTTCTATTTGTTTAAATTTATATTACCAATGTAGATGGTTGAGAGTAGCATTATGGGTGTCACTGCGGCACTGCTGGGGTATGTGTCCATAAACAAATGCTTTTAAGTGACTCTGCAGGAAAAACCCAGCAGGCTCAGGTCTTGCTATAGAACAGTATTGTGTTGTCTTATCTATAGGTTGTGAAATCATTCTGATGCACTGGCATGCCATCCTACTGATATCACATAACCAATGACAAGTCAAGTCATTCATCTACCATCATGTGTAAGATGCTAAGATAGTGATTGTTAGTCCATGTACTATTGATGAGTACAGAATCATACTTACTCTAGGTATAATACCAGACATTTAGTGTAAATATATACTTGATTTTGCATATTTTATGTGCATTGTAAAACATTTGCTGCCTAGTGGTGCATGTTATTGCAGTTACATGTTTTTTCTCCAGAATGAAGTGCTCAAGCAGTTGTGGTGTGTCTTGGCATAAATTCAACATTATATTGCACCTGTTTCAAATTGCAGTTGGATAGGTGTATGGTAGCATGGGAAGCCATCTCACATGATAGTTGGTCACCCTTACTAATGGTACAGAGGTCAGAGAAACTGTTCTGTTCTTGTGTTGTCTATCACAATAGGATGCTTATCTGCACACAGCTAGTGTTCCTTTATCACACACGTATTCAGACGAGAAAATAATTATACAAGATGCTAAAGATTCCTTTAACTTGTATCATTATTGTAATACTAGAAATTTCCCCATTAAGCATGACAGAATAATTTTTATGAGAAAGTAGATATTGAAGAATTGGGAGGAGTAGATATTTCAAGAAATTCAAATCAAGAAATTCAAAAAGAGTTGCTAATATTTTTACAAATTAAGTAGTTATACTATCTGTTGTAACATAAAGAGCAAAAAAACAAAATTTCACCTGGAGTGGACAAGGTAGGAGGAGTTATAGAGAATTCACTTATATATATATACACACACACACACACACAGATTTTAATATAAAGGCCTAAATCTTTCTTTATAAAAATTTCTTTATATACTACATTCTGAGTAAACATACTATTGTCTTTTAAACTATTTCCTTGCTGTGTTCCTTTAGTAATAGACGCCTTATTATTATTTTGATGATTAATGCTGTTTCTGTGGCCCTTGACAAAGCCATTTCTTAATTCTGCATTGATAAAACAAAGCTAAATTGTATCTACATTAGATGAGCGATAGCACTTTCTAAATAATGGGCTTGTTAGATTGTTACTTCTGATTGGATAATCGAACGTCATGTGGTCACTATGGAAAGATTTTTTAAAAATTTGTTATAGAAGTGACATGATGCAGCTATCATTTTAAATTCAATGAAGCAATTTTAAATATTTTGGAAAATGGCATATTTTAAACTTACAACTTAGGGAAATTTCCTTGTCAAGTATGAACTAAGAGAGGTCACTGACTTCACTGCAATATAAGTGTGATCACTGATCCAAAATCAATAAAACGTTTATTCTATAGCTAATATTTCTGCAAAATAAGTAGCCTATACTTTCTGTCAGGACATAAAGCAAATGTAAGCAAAATTTCATTTGGATTGGACAAGAATTGCAAGAGTTATAAGGAATTCACACACAGATGATGGCTTTTATATTAGTAATTGTAATCACTTACTACCATCATCCTTACATTGACTCTTGCAAAGTTTCATTTAACTCCTCTGTGTTGAACTTTTTTTGTAAGTAAGTATATTTCCTAGTAATGATTGAAAAAAGTCAACATTTAGCTGTTTTTTTTACCTCTTATGTAAAAATAGTTGTTAAAATTTTGTTTAGAAAGATCAATTATGCTTCTTTATATACAAATGTTAAAATATAGATTTCTGAAAAAAAAACAATAAGAAATTACTTTTATAATTTAATATGTTATAAATTATTCTTAATGTATAACAACTCTCAATAAATCTTACATATCTGTATTTTTCCTCATTAGCTGCTGGTGCTACTGTAGTTTACCCAATCGATCTTGTGAAAACGAGAATGCAGAATCAGCGAACTGGTTCGTACATTGGGGAGCTAATGTATAGAAACAGTATAGACTGTGCTAAAAAGGTTATAAGACACGAAGGTATTTTTGGCCTCTACAGGGGTTTAATGCCACAGCTTGTAGGTGTGTGTCCAGAAAAGGCCATTAAATTAACTGTATGTATTATTTTATATTGACAGTTTAGATATTATAAATAACAATTAAGATTTTTTCAAAAATTGACAATTTTCCATATTGATTTTTAGTTTTATAAATCAAAAATATGGTTATACAGTGGGTGATCGGTTAACGAACATAATCTGTTCCAAGACTTTGTTCGCGCTCTGAATTGTTCGTCAACTGATTAGAATGAATTAATCAAATTCCCATAAAAACCTATGGTAAATTGAGAGAGACCCTAAAAAATATATACTTTCTTACTACATTTATTTATATGTAATAATAAAAATACATATATACACAGTCTTGCATTTTTATTAGTCATGTTTTTTTCTGTTTGTGGTCGTTAAAGAATCTATCTAATGTCGATTGCTTTTCTCTCCAAGATTTTTCAGAAGTAATTCATAGCATTGTAATTGTAAAGATCCCTAAGACTATTAACCTCAATCTGGTTTGGATGCCATTCTAAGACCATCGTTCTGACATCATCCCACTTCTTCAAAAGATGTTTAATAGCAGATATCGGCATTAATTAATCCTTTTTTCAGAAGAAAACATATCTCCCGAGTTTCTTGGTGTTCTTCATTCAAGAGTTATTTGGTATTCTTCTGTCATCAGATCCATTTCTGGTTCCATTACGAGCTCTTCAATGTTCTTTATTTCTCAGATGTGATTTTTGTTACTCCTTAAGCTGCTTGAGTCTTTTCGATAATACTGTATCTTTCTTAGACAAGATTGAACTGTGGCCAACTGTAGATCTGTTTAAGCCATACTGCCTAGCAACATCAGACATCCTCTGTCCACTCTCTACTTTTGCTATGATACTCTCATCTTTCGAAAATAAAAACCCACACAAAACTTAACAAGTGTCTGCCCAACAGTCTCCTGAATACTGTAAAATAATTGTTTGTCAGAAAAATAAAAGGCTGGAATTACATTGGATAGTATTCCTCTAAACTTTGAAACTCTCCCATCAGTATATACTGGGTTGAGCATCAATGTCTCCTGTGCTCTGAAAAGTTTTGAATTGTTGCTTGAAGACAAAGGAAGACCAATTGGTATTCATTATTTTATGTCGTTTCTTCTTGTGTTTGTTCTGACAACAAACACGTGTTCGTTGTCTGATCACCTACTGTATAACAATTTTTTGTAATATTTTCAGTATACTAAATGTAATATTTAAAAAAATATTTCTAATGTTTTCAGTGGACAACAATATTATTATTATTTGCTGAAATAAATATGAATTAAATATATAGGGTTATCAAAAGAACACCCAGATTTCAAAAACTTGCATTTAATAGTAATCAACTGTTAAAATGTTAAGAAAAATTTCAGGAAATTTTTCTTTATTTGGTAGGTTTTTGTGCATGTCATTTGTTTCCCAGTAGACATTGAAACGGTATTTGATCTTGTGCCATATCTGGAGTTAGATAAGGTAGCAGCAGCTATTGCAGTGGTAAGGTGTTGGAGATTTGGGAAGCAATACTAAACAGTCACGACAACAGTTGGTGTGAAAAGATTTAAGCTACTTAACATCAACAATCATTTCTAACTAACGTTCAGCCTAGAGTGATACTCAACTACACCTTTACCATTCTTGTTAAGTTTGTATACAGTTGTTCACCTTAAGATGAACACACAAATTGTAACGTCGTACGTGCGTCACTGATAGTGAAAATTGACCAATCAGAAATGAGGATCTTGTTAATTATAAAGACATTATATTTGCTGTAAATGATATAATTCTATTTTATTGAAACATAGGCAAGATTATTACTTTTGTTTTAAACTATATTGTTTTATAAGTATATATTCAATAATTGTCTAGACTCAAAATGTAGCTCACACCAACCTTTCAGTAAACAAGAGTAGTCAACAAAACTTTTGTTTATAACAAGAATACTGCAAGGTTCAGTATTGCATTTCTTGCCGATTGTTTGTTAAGAGAAACAAGTACATTGTGACGTCGCTTAACGACAGTACCCAGTATCACCACCCTGGTCTTCTGGAGTCCGGGCTTCCAATTCCAATTGGAAGGAATGAACCTTTCACCTGTATCTTGCACTGATATGCATTTTTAGTGGGGATATTTGAAGAGCATTAGATATGCTTAAAAAGATTAGAGATCTCCAACACCTAACAATATCATTGCATCGGCTGCTTGAAATCCTAACTCCAGACATCATTTAATGAAGTAAGAGAAAAAATGAATGATAATATCAATGATATTCTTAAGTTTAAGGATTCTTGTTATATATAAAGATACTGCATTAGTGCAACACACATTAAATCTTGTCATTAAAATATGGATTTATTTTTGAAGTAATTAACAAAACATTTTCAATTCTTTGTGTTGATTTTAACAATGTTAATAGACTGTTAAGGCAAAGAACTAATAGAAGAATCAACTTTAAGTGTGTGTTTTTGTGCAGATTTCTAAGGTGGATGTTTAAGTTTCAAAACAAATTTAACTATTAAATTATAGCATTTTTGTATTAAAATATTATTTCATTTCTTTTTGCCTAATAAATATCACATCTTTGTTGATTGTAGATGAATGATTTTGTTCGTGACAAAATGACAAATGAAAAAGGTGAAATAAAACTTCTACATGAAATTTTAGCTGGAGGTTGCGTAAGTACTTCATTTCTGCTGATATCATCCTAATGAGGAAAAATCAAATATGGTCAAAAATTTATAGTAATAATAATTTGTAAACTTACTCAATGCTTGTAGATAAAATTTTTATCTTTTTTCTAGGCTGGTGCATCTCAAGTAATGTTCACAAATCCTTTAGAAATAGTGAAAATTAGGTTGCAAGTTGCAGGGGAAATAGCAGTAACTCATAAAGTTAGTGCAATTTCAGTCATTAAAGATCTTGGACTAATAGGTTTATATAAGGTAAGAGATGTTAGTCATTAAATTTTAATAATTTAATAAATTTGTAAAACACGAATTTTGATCACATAATTAGGGTGCTAGAGCCTGTTTTCTTCGTGACATTCCTTTTTCTGCCATCTACTTCCCCGTCTACGCTCATTCGAAATTGACTTTTGCCGACGAGAACGGACACAACGGTGCCGGCTCTCTGTTGCTGTCGGCATGTGTTGCGGGTAATTTTTTATGTCGGTCGCATGCGAGTAATATTCAATCGGTAACATCCCCGACCATCAACCTTATTTTCTAGGTGTTCCTGCTGCCTATTTGGTAACTCCAGCCGACGTAATCAAAACTAGACTGCAAGTTCAAGCTAGAAAAGGTCAGACGACTTATTATGGTGTATTTGATGCAGTCCGTAAGATATGGAAAGAAGAAGGTGGTAGTGCTTTTTGGAAAGGCGGAATCGGTATAAGTTGAGCTTGCTCAGTTTTATGTGAATACTTTTATAAAACTGCTTAGTAGATTAATTTTAACAATTAATTTTCTATTACAAAAGTAGATTTAGTTTCTGACAGTGTTAATGCATTTATTTTGAAAGCTTATTCATTTACTTGCTAGAATTGTAGTTATACTAGTAATTAATTTCATTAACAGAATAGTAAATTTGCCATTTATGCTTAAAAATGAACTTGCAGCATTTATGGTAAAGTATGCAACAGCCAGATTTTGTCATACTTGATAAAGTATGTTTAACATTTGAAATTTTTCAGCACGTGTGCTTCGTTCTGCACCCCAGTTTGGTTTTACTCTGTTGACGTACGAAATTTTGCAGAGATTGTTCTTTATTGATTTTGGTGGCAGGTAAAAAATTTTTCTCTTACTAAAATGTATTTTTACTACTTCATACAGTTATAAACTATAATAAATATTTGCAACAGGAGACCTACCGGATCACAAGTCAAAGTTCCAGTTCAGACCGGCGAAATACGTTCTCACAATCCGGATCACATCGGAGGCTACCGTCTGGCTCTGGCCACCTTCAATGGAATGGAATCGAAGTTCGGTCTCTTCCTGCCAAAATTCAGTCGACCCGCAAAAGCCTAGTAAAAGGCATCGCCGGTTTAGAAAAATCATCACTCGTTCATTCTCCCAACATCGTGCTAGTATCAAAATAGTCATAACATAGGAAGAAATTTATTAGAATGCCTAAATGAAGAACATCTATGATGCAAGACTTAACAGAGTATTGAAGTATCCATTTGGGTTCATTGCCTCATGTAAATGCCACATCCTCATAAACTTGCAGACTTATCCAGAGAAGGGAAAAAATTTTGGCAGCTACACAATTAAGAAGCTTCTTTGTATATAAACTTCGTAGTCTCCCAACAAATTATGTTCAAATTGCCTGTTTATTCTCGTAACGAGCGCACGAATTCTTTTGTGGAAGCCATACCACGACAATCATTTCAAACCCAACAAAGGTAGTCGTTTGTTTAAACAATTTTAGGTATATTATACAATCGAGTAAGTGTTTGCTATATTTGGTGCCGTTAGAATTAGAATATATTTAGCAATAGACAAATTTGTTTCATGGCATCGAGCGTGAAGTTTACTTTTGGATGACAATAGTTGTAGTTTCGCCGTAATTATTTACGGTCGTAAGTGGAAAATTTTGTTTCATTAATCAAATCGTCGAAGTGGATTAGCGGCCGACCTAGGCCAAATTGCATCTAGTCAAGTTTTTGAATATTAGGAGACATATTTATATTTAGATGTTGAAGTATTAGTTGCACAAATTTTATTTCGCAAAGCATTTGTCTGTATGTTAGGATATTTAGATTACTAAATATCCTAGACACTAATTTATGTAATCAGAAATGTTTAATTCTGTTAAACAGAGTGATATTGTTAAGTTTAAATTATTGTTTTTAATTAGTTCTACAGGATCTTTACCAAAATAATATAACAATTTTTCTGCCAATTTTCACTCTAAATCTGTTTCTGCTATACCAATAGTGCCTGTAGCTGTCTTTTGTTAAAAAATTGTAAAAATCTTGTACAGGTTTTGAATTAAATTGTTATGGACAAAACTCTCCATCTAACTTTTTGCCAGAGGTAACACGGAACCCAAATTTCCACATTTACCGTAGTATGAAGCTAATTTTCTTTAAAGCAGACTTCCCAATGGAGTCAACCAGCAAATTAGTACATATTGTACGCATACATAGATATTTATCTAAATAATTCAGCAATAGTCATTTAAAAATTCTTGAAAATGTTTTCATCTATCACCTATATCAATACACATACATACAAGGGTTGATACACGAAAAAGGTCGGGTTAGTTTGATGGGATGGTGGCAACAAGAAACCTGCCCATGTTCAGGTTATACAAACGTGAAGGAAATCCAGAAAACTCCTCACAACCACCCGGCATTTGATGGTTTTATCTGCTCGGCCACCGTCGGACCGAAATAGGTCGGGAACCCCCGCATTAATTAAATGTAAGAGCTAGTCCTATACCGGGCCAAATTTGGCACGAGTTTAAAATATTTGGTCTCGAGATGTATGAAATTAAATCCCGTCTCCAACTGTGAAGTTAGTAATCCAAATAAAAACACCAGAGATGTAAAATAATTGCACCAAGAAAAAACTTAAGACAGTTTAGAAGTCAAATTTTTACTTTCCCGACCCTGTTATATAAGAGAGGGAAAGTAGGACTCGCGATCAAAAAAATTTATAAATTTTAATAAAATATCGTAACAGACGTTGCCGGAAAAGTTAAGCAACTCGCTGCTGTATTTTTTCTTAGGAATTTTCTTTGCTCGAGATAAGCGCGGCACTCGGAAGCGATTTGTAGAAAACAATAATACATCTAACGTCTTCCAAGCGCCGAATTTATCGTCACCAAAGAAAACTCCCAACAATGCAGTCTGGACATTTAATTATGATAATTTAGATAACGGTCCTTCTGGACCGTTTTCTAAATTGTCATAATTATTTTATATGTCCAATGTGTTTGCTTGGGTAAAAAGGATTAATAGAAAAAGTTTTTCTATTTATAAAATGACCTACTTCATAGTTTTCGTTTATTCTCGTTAACAAAACACTAAAGGTTATAAGGAAAAAAGTTCCGCGTGTGTTTTGAAAGGACTCGGTTCGAATAAACACCTTTCCAGCGAGGACCGATTTATGGTCTCTCCTCTATATCAAAAATAATGCGCGGGACAACATTGGAAACGTATTTGCATTAACAAAAAGCGGGTAACCAAAATCGAGTTACACACACGTGACGCTGGTGTGTCAACTATACCCATTAATTAAATGCTGCCACTGCACTTTTGTAAATGAAAAACCTCGTTTTTCGACTCAGACATTCGTTCTGAATGTTTACGAGTCTAACAGCTGGGATACAGGGCCGGCCTTCTCTATAAAGGGGCCCGGGTGCAAGAAACTATTTGGGTCCTACATTTTTTGTAAAATAAAAAAAATTACAAACACAAACATATATTAATGCATGTTTATTTAAAGCGTGATTTTGTTCTTGCTAATACATGAATTACTTGAGGAAAATTATAATTTTTGCAATTTCGTTTGTTCAATGCTTAATATAGCAATTGCATTAAGCGTTCTGCACACATGCTGGATCGAAATAATTCTTTATTAATTTTAATTTGCTGAAAGAGCGCTCAGCACTTGCTATAGTAACTGGCAACGCAAAGAAAAGTTTTAACACAGTTAATACATTTAGAAATAACTCATTATAATTATTATTTAGTATGTATTGCATATGTCTTGTGTGTTATTTACATCTCTTTCATTCAAAATCAAATCCCGTAGCAAACCAATTTCCTGGAATAGGTTTTCATCTAGGGGAGATCCTTCTACTTTGGGACGCTTTTCTTTNACGGCCACAGTATTATTTCATTTCTTAACGCGGGCTATATGGTATTGAGATTTTTTTTTAAAAGTCGAATTTAGGTGGGGATTCTCGGGAGTTTCCCGAATCAAATAACAAAAACTAAACATTCGCATCACCGAGAATTAGTTTGAAGATTGTCGAAATTCAGAGATTACAATAATAATGTTTACGATAAAATGTACTTTTCGTCATACTGACAACGATAGGAATATTGTCGAGTTTTCTTGCGCATTCTTGACAATGTTAGGGCCCCCTCAATCGCGGGGCCCCGGTGCACAGCATCCGCCGCACCCCCCCCCGATGGCCGGCCCTGCTGGGATATATCTTCAATGAAAGTAATAGGAAAATATAATTTCGTGTTTGTCCGTATCGCCAGGGAGAAAGGCGATTTGTAGAAAATTTTGTTAGCGTTATTAGGCTAAACGGGATTTAATAGGAACAGTTCGACGCGATAATGCATTACTTGTATACGAAGGATGTAAATTTAACGAGTACAACATCCAAGTTAAATTATAAAATGATTGGGATACGAAATAATTGAACGAACAAACAATCTAAACGATTTGTATTGTAGAATAATAATAATTTGGCCAATTGTTGGACATCCGCATTCCGCATCTAAAAATGGCAGAAGAAATAGATCTTTTCCACGTCAAATGTCCGATTTGTCTGGATGTTTACGTCGACCCGATTACCCTGTCTTGCGGTCATCTCTACTGCAAGTCCTGTATCGAGAGTACAAGAAAAATCTGGAAAAACTGTCCGATGTGCCAAAATCCGATAGGAAAAATTAAAAAGAGAGACGATCGGGTCAAGGAGGTGAAGAACATCATGGCCACACATTACGCCATCTGCCATTCGTGTGGAGAAACAACTCTCTTATCCGGACTACGTGAACACGTGACAGCGTGCCAAAAGACTGCCAGAAATTCCAACAAGAGAACACCCGCTGGTGCGAAAATCATTCGATGCGCAATGTGCCAAAAGAAAATCGCGCCGAACGGACTGTTAAAGCGCCTGAAAAACAAGAATAGACGTGGACATTCGTTGATCTGTCCGAAGTGCGCTTTAAAAAATGCGATTAATTAAATCGAGATCGTGAAATATCATTTAAAATAGACGTCAACAAAATTTTCAATGTATAATTTTGAATACAATGCTTCGTTAGGCGAATCAAAATGAAAAATTCCTGAATTTTGAATCATTAAAATTTGATTTTATTATTATTTACGAATAATTTCTTTATTTGCAACAAATGATATAAACACGAGACTTACGTTTCGGATCCTTTATAGATCCGTTGGTGATAACGACTTTCTATATTTTATCAATTTTGCGGGAACAAAATAATTTGTCGATTCCGATGGAAACACGACGGCGGGTCACTCCCACCCAAATCCGCAACCCGTATATTTTCCCAACTCCATCTTTCGGCAGTTTTGGGACATCGAGATGCGCGTGCAAAAGAATTTTCCGTATTTAATTAAAATTCCCTTTCACCCAGCAATGGAGGAGTTTCCACCGGACGTTCGAAGGAAAGTAAGTAATATGCCGTGCAAATGGCGCGATAAGAGAAATTTTCTGATCATAATAAAATAAAATTCCGTAAATGTCTTTTAAGCGACCGATTAAAGATAAACACGGTAACGCTTAACGGAGACAACGTCTTTATAAGTAACGAGTCTACTTCCAAAGAATGCAATTATTACAAGCAAACCTACGGTTACAAGTGGAAAAAGGAATTTTAACAAGTGCTGGCAACACTTCTGGATCTGGAAAGCCTACCCCGCGCTCGGCTTTTTTCGCCCCGCGGACACCGAGGGGTCCACAGTAGCCGCCACGGATTCGGCCACGTCCCCGAAGACGATATACGGGTTATAAACCACCCCCGAAAAATTCCGGATTCGATCCTAGGAACCGGAGCGGAAGGCCAGTACCTAGGATAAATAAAAATTTATATTTCGGATCTTTTCGTTCGGATATCGCTTGTTTTTTGGTTAGCCATTGTGTTATTACTTCAAAGCCTAAAACAATGACGTACTGTACACTTCAATCGGGATGAATTTACTAGTGGCTTTTAGTCAAATCGTTATAAAAAGTGTTAATTGGCATAAATTTGAGCGTTTGTTATTCTCGATGACATTTCGAAAGAAAATCATTCGTTTCCATCCGATTGTACCCCTACAAGCACGAAATTAAGTTAAAGCTATAAAGGCGAAATAGCTCTATGCAGGGCCGGCCATCGGGGGGGTGCGGCGGATGCTGTGCATCGGGGCCCCGCGATTGAGGGGGCCCTAACATTGTCAAGAATGCGCAAGAAAACTCGACAATATTCCTATCGTTGTCAGTATGACGAAAAGTACATTTTATCGTAAACATTATTATTGTAATCTCTGAATTTCGACAATCTTCAAACTAATTCTCGGTGATGCGAATGTTTAGTTTTTGTTATTTGATTCGGGAAACTCCCGAG